CTACGAGCTAACGCTAGATATCTGTAATGGATAGAAAAAAGGACCGTAACGCAAGGATACGCTTGGGTAGAATACTACGAGCTAACGCTAGATATCTGTAATGGATAGAAAAAAGGACCGTAACGCAAGGATACGCTTGGATAGAATACTATGAGTCAACGCTAGATATCTGTAATGGATAGAAAAAAGGACCGTAACGCAAGTATACGCTTGGGTAGAATACTACGAGTTAACGCTAGATATCTGTAATGGATAGAAAAAAAGGACCGTTACGTAAAGATACGCTTGGATAGAATACTACGAGTTAATGCTAGATATCTGTAATGGATAGAAAAAAGGACCGTAACGCAAGGATACGCTTGGATAGAATACTACGAGTTAACGTTAGATATCTGTAATGGATAGAAAAAAGACCGTAACGCAAGAATACGCTTGGATATAATACTACGAGTTAACGCTAGATATCTGTATTGGATAGAAAAAAGGACCGTAACGCAAGGATACGCTTGGATATAATGATAAGTTTTTCCAAAGTTTATAATTATATGTTTTTTTGTATCATGTTACTGGGCTGATAAATATCCATATAATTTTTTCTCTAATATGATCCTAAAAAGAGCACTATGAATAAAGCACTTTGATGTCTATCCATTACAGATATCGTGAACTTTAACTCGTAATATTCTATCCAATACATTTGCTGTTGTTCTTAAAACAGAGCTATATCTCTCCACGAATGTGTCCAAGCGTATCCTTGCGTTACGGTCCTTTTTTCTATCCAATACAAATATCTAACGTTAACTCATAGTATTCTATCCAAGCGTATCCTTGCGTTACGGTCCTTTTTTCTATCCAATACAGATATCTAGCGTTAACTCGTAGTATTGTATGTAGGCCCTGTTGTAGAACTCTTGATTTTAACGAAAGTGTATGTAGGCCCTGTTGTAGAACTCTTGATTTTAACGAGAGTGTATGTAGGCCCTGTTGTAGAACTCTTGATTTTAACGAGAGTGTATGTAGGCCCTGTTGTAGAACTCTTGATTTAGGAATTGGCGAATCGGGTTCGAATTCATACGAAATCACAAAATATTCCCAGAATATTAAGCTGTTGGTGCGTTATAAGAGTAACAATCAATTCCCTAGCGCGGATGATGGGCCATAGAGTGCTGCTGCCTGGTTACCTTCCCTCTGGCCAGTTGTTAAAAATTAGGGATGGCGACAACTAGCTTTGATAGTTCTGCCATAAATACAAGTACAAGTATATTTTGTGGATGTAATTTAAATTATAGGAAACATTTTAACAAACATAAACATGTTTTTTCTTCTGTATTTTTGAACGAAATAACAGACATTCTTAACAAATATTGTTATAAATTTTGGACTAATTAGACAGCTTTACCTAGTCTGTTTCCATCGACTGCTCTTAGCTCTACTCTGGGCACTCCAGGTCCCAAACAATCCAAAATGTAAAATTTGGCACCTGGACTAAAGGTAGCGCTGTTGAACAAGCAATTCCGTTCAATGTCACACGTGAGACATTCTTGCGACAGACGATTTATCGAGGTTATGTCTGTCACACTGAAAAGATGGCGCTCTCCTGAATGATTCTTTAGTGTACTAATATAATATCTGAAAAGAAAAACAAAGACATTAAAATGGCTTAATTCATTATTACAAAATTTCCAACCAATATTTTGTATATCAATAAAAAGGTAAAGAATGATACGACTAAAATCATCGTCTTATTTTGCTTTAACATAAGTAAAATAAAATAATTATTGTAATTAATAGATGAATTATTGGTATACAACATATACAGCGTTTAAGCTCAACCCAGCGAGGCATTGTTGTTGTCTAATAGACACGTTCAATGTGTAAATTATAACAAACATACGACATTCGCAATAATTAACTCAGGCTTCTCCCCCCCCACCCCCCACACACACATTTTAGCCCTAAATCCCGCCCATGATTCGAATTATCGTACTCTGAAAGTTGTATGTGATCATGTCCAAATAAACGTAATTAAGAGATCATACAATTTCAGATCGAGATTACCGTTATAGCCAAATCTTTCTTCTTTTTTTTTTGTAATAGGTCAAAATCTTAACTATATTATACTTTGGATGCATCAAAGCTTAGACGATTTAATCCTCAATCCACGGACTTGTTTTTATACCGTTTTGCTTCACATTATATAGAGTATCAAGTTTTATGCAAGTTAACAGTAAATGTTCATGCAATATTGAAACAGAACTGCGAAGAATACAAAATGAACTCGGTGCTGGCTTCGAGAAACAAAACAACACTCTACTCCAGAGATTACTGCTACCAAGTTCTGGTGAGTACCGGCAGAATTTCACCTCTGGGTAATTCACACTGCATTATTTTTATTTCTTCCCCCAATACAATACTCAGTGTTTATTGTAAACCACAATGCTACATAACGAGCTCTCTATGCTCTTCGCACCGAGGGTGTCGAAACCCGATTTTTAGCGTTATAAGCCTACTGACCTACCGCTGAGCCACCGACATTAACTGCAAATGCTTGATATTTTTATTTACACTTTTTGTTTGATTCGTATATTATTAGGGATCCTGTAACAAACAAAGTCGGAAACAGCTTGGTTCATAAATAGTTAAGAAAGAACAAGAGAGAGAATCCTCAATAGCCGCGGTATTTGAAATTCTTTTAGGTAGGATTAGGGTAAATTAATCTACGAAACCTTTTTTTTTTCGTATACCCGATTTGATTTTAATTCTCATCAAGATCTCTACCAGCTTACCCTCAAATTCAAGTTCTTTTAGATGAAATTACTCTATGAGACATTGGGCGTGGTCAAAGAAATCAGTCGAAAGGGTTTGCCCTTCTGAGTCCAAAACTTTAATTAAATCTCAAATCGGTCTACAGATGACGGAGCTATTAGCTAAAAGTTTGTACTTGGAAAAAAAAACAACTCAGAACCGTTCTATGAACCACTATGTCGCAGCTAAAAATGGGTTTAATTCGCGGGTTAAAAGAGGTCTGTAAAAAAACAAACTTTTCTCATACAGGTTATAGTAATACAATACATTTATACTTCTGTACAGTAACTACAGCATGAATTAAAAACAAAATAGACGTACATTTGTTGCCATAGAAACATTTTCGTAATGGGAAGGATTGCTTGATAACTAACAGCAGACGTAAATAACTAATGAATAGAAAGTCGTCTAGGCAACTCAGTTGTTACCATAGCAACATTTTAGCAAATGGATAACATTCTCATGATACAACGAGTACTTGGAAGAAATACGTTTACCTTAAGATGTGCACCAGTGATATCTTGCGGACCATTTTACATTTATTAAGAAATAACTTTTTTTCGCAATAATTTTTATTTTTTTATTTAAATGATTTAGGATTTGGAGATAAGCAATGAAAAACTTACAGTTTACGGACATCCTGGCGATGGGCTAAAATCTGGATGACATCATAAGTTCCTTGTGTTAGGAATTCCTTTCTTTTATCCTGAAACAATAAATTCCATTTTAACTTTATGTGTTTTAACTGTTAAGTTTAAAGCGAAACATTTTAGCGATCTATCACAAGCTCCACACGTTACAACCTGATGAAATATAACACAAACTACCCTAATTAACTTATCCCGGGAAATAAATAGTTTCATACAAGTAAAATATTAATAGTTATAGTGTCATTAAAGTAAAACACAACGTCAAAATGTGAGACACGTAAAGTACTCACTGAAAATAGGTTTTCCCCAAGGTCCTATATTATATCCTTTCGTAATCTTCTAAACAATATCCTGGAGATTATCTCATAGCTTGATATCCTGAATATCCTCTCGGAATATTCTAAACAATATCCTGGAGATTATCTAATAAATTGATATCCTGAATATCCTCTCGGAATATTCTAAACAATATCCTGGAGATTATCTAATAAATTGATATCCTGAATATCCTCTCGGAATATTCTAAACAATATCCTGGAGATTATCTCATAGCTTGATATCCTGAATATCCTCTCGTAGTATTCTAAACAATATCCTGGAGATTATCTCATAGCTTGATATCCTGACTCTCGTTAAAAACAACTTCATGAGGAAGAAAAGAAATTCATTTCGTTTTTATTTATGATATCCTAACACGAACAGTAAATTGTCAGTAGAATTATTTCTAGGAAGATTTAAGTTGGGTGAAGTTTTAGCCGATCCATTTTGATAACTTGACTGGTAATAAAATCCATGCTATTACAATAACTTGACTCGTAATAAAATCCTTGCTATTACAATAAATTGACTCGTAATAAAATCCATGCTTTTACAATAATTTGACTTATCACATCAGTGAGTCTCACTCCTGCAAGTCTGATAAACCTGGAATTATATTCAGTAACACAAACTGAAGAAAGAGTCCACCTGTTTATATATACTTACACAAACACTATCATTGGGTAGTGTCAGTAGTTTATGATTAACGATTATAATTATATATATATATACTTACACAAACACTATCATTGGGTACTGGGTAATTTCATCATCCCTTAAACCAGGAGGTAAAAGAAGTCGGACATTTGCACCTAAAAAAAAGCATAAAATTTAAACTATTTTTAGTTTACTTCTTTGTTATTATTATAAAATACATTTGATCCTGCCTTGAATCATCAAGGAATTTATTGTTGATTTCTTGATCAAAATGTAATAAATCTTATATTGATTAACTTACAGAATCTATCATATTAGGACCTGGTTAGTAACGATTTCACTGGCCCTGCTTATGATATTGAGTCATCATAATTTGGAGAAATCTAACGCCAAATGGCGAGAAACTCAATGTGATTTCAGTGGTTCATGTGATCCTTTAAAACATGAATATATCTAACTTTCCTTACAATAAATAGATGTAACGTGTGACGAATATATTAGATTGTTAAACAACATCGGAGAAAAACTGATCGAGTTTTCTATCACTAAGTTCATCCCTCTAATCATTTTTAAAATATCACCAGAAATTAAATATTGTTTCATTTATTAACCGCGTAGTCACATAACATGCTCATATAAAGACAAATTTCTTATTTATGTTGTTATAATAATATATCAAAACCTTTCACATACTAAATCCGTCTTCTACTGGCACGTGAAATGTTCGGACTTGTGGTAGCGCCCTCTTCCGGTATAACTCCTGTAAAGCATCGTTGTTATCCAAGATGGAAACTGTAAGTCATGGCAATGATTGTATTAACGGAGACGTAAAAATCTGTTTGTACAGGTTATAATGTTACATTACTGGGATCTGTACGCTACATTTATAATTGAAGTAAACGGGAAATAAAACATAATTACGCACACAAGTTCAAAAAAAAGTAAACTCAATCCTGATTTATGAAGTATTCTTAACCTGAACAATATCTTATGCACTCGTGGGATAAAAGGCCAATTTAGAGACCCTAAGGGTTCAGGTATAGCCCTCTCTAACTTTGGACTACTGATTAGAGAGAAAACCGCCAGTCAGGATCACCCGCAGCTTTGAAACGGATAACTGTACTGAATAACGCACCCACAGCTGAGAGTGAAAAGCGAATTTAACAGCATCGCGGAACGAACCCTTGACCTTTCGCTCCACGGCACGCAATGCCATGTTCTGCCTATGGAGATATGAAAACTTAGTGTTTATACCGTTTGCGATTCCCAGTTTTTGAATTAACTTTTGATCAAAAGAAGAGCAAATTGGTAAAAATATTAAATTTTCAATCTGAAAGTTTCTCGTGCAAGTTCTTGTTATATTTGTAATTACGAGACTCGACACCACAGACAAATTTGTCTCATTTACAGGTCACGAAATTAACAAATATTCAGATATATTTCTCTTCTAACCACGTGTTTCGATCAACATAAACATATTTTTCTAACACGATGAAGGACCAAAAAGAAATTATTATAGTGAAATCCATCATGTAAAGTTTTTGTCAACTGAGTATATAATTATAATCGTTAATTATAAACTACTGACTTTACCCAGTATACAATGATAGTGTTTGTAAGTATATATATAATTATAATCGTTAATCATAAACTACTGACACTACCCAATGATAGTGTTTGTGTAAGTATATATATATATATATATAATTATAATTATGATCGTTAATCATAAACTACTGACACTACCCAATGATAGTGTTTGTGTAAGTATATATATATATATATATAATTATAATCGTTAATCATAAACTACTGACACTACCCAATGATAATGTTTGTGTAAGTGTATATATATATATATATAATTATAATCGTTAA